TATTGATATTTTTCAAGTCAGAGATATTTATAAAGTAAATAATTTGGAAAATACTCTTCAGAAAATGCAAAATGTGTTAACAATGTGTTGATCACAGTTTGGCTCTCAATCTCTATGTATGTCAATGGAAAAGAGAGCCTTTAATTCCTATCAAACAGTAGAGCACTCTTCCAGTTGTATCCCATAATAAGTGTTGCTATAGTTATGCTGTGTTTGTCACGTGACAAATAAACCCTAGTTCTGGTGCACTCTCTCCTTCTCTCTCCCTCTATATCTCCCCCTCTCTGTCCCCCTCTCTCTCCCTCTCACTCGATATCATTTCAATGTCTCTCTTCCATGACTTGAACTGAAGGTCAGACTTAAAGCACTTAAATATTTGAACTCAACTTAAAGACAAACTCAAACTTTGAACACAAATGTTATCAAACTTTGTGATCATATTTTGAGTGAAATTCCATTAATTTCCACAAAAATAATCGCAACACAACTCTTCACTCGTAGAATATTCCAACTCCTCATTACTTCCCAACACTTCTTCGATACCCCTTTTGACCATTAAATAAGTGGAAGAATGTCTCAAACGAGTCAGACATCGACGCCGACCGCAACGATTCCAAAGTCCATTCGCTTCTTATTCGGTGGAAGCGCTGGGTATGTGTCACACAAACACTCATTCATGTGATTGTCATATATTAATGGATATATTGTTGTCCAGAATGTTGGCCACTTGTTTCGTACAACCATTGGATTTGATTAAGAATCGGATGCAATTGAGTGGTAAGTGAAGTGTTTACCCAATGATAAGCCAATGGATGGCTAATGTCTTAATTTATTTCAAATTGTCTGAAATGCAGGCGAAGGCGGAAAAGCGAAGGAACACAAGACGAGTATACATGCGATTCGAGCCGTTATTAAAAATGAAGGTTTTTCTGGACTTTATGTCGGATTATCGGCTGGTCTTCTAAGGCAGGCCTCGTATACAACTGTGCGGTTAGGGGTTTACGCGTCACTATTCGAGAAAGTGAGCGGCGATTCTGGGAAACCGCCCGGATTTTTCACCAAAGCCGGCATCGGTATGACTGCCGGAGCCGTCGGTGCCTTTTTCGGGACACCGGCCGAAGTGTCACTCATCCGAATGACATCCGACGGACGGTTACCACTGGCCGAGAGACGAGGCTATAAGAATGTGTTCGACGCTCTCATTCGCATCACTCGAGAGGAAGGAGTGTTGACGCTATGGCGCGGATGTATTCCAACCATCGGTCGAGCGATTGTTGTCAACGCCGCACAACTCGCCTCTTATTCGCAGGCGAAACAGATTTTGGTCTCAACTCCTTATTTCAGTGATAATATTATGTGTCATTTCGCCGCTTCCATGATATCCGGTCTCATCACTACCGCAGCCTCAATGCCCGTCGATATCGGTTTGTTTTCATCCACACTTCAGAGTTTAATTTACTAAATTGATTTATTTGCCTCTCTCTCTCTCTCTCTCTCTCTCTCTCTCTCTCTCTCAGCCAAAACTAGAATCCAAAACATGAAGATAATCGATGGAAAGCCTGAATATAAGGGCGCTTTCGTAATATATTTCATAACTTATAAACTGATAATTAATTTAATGAATGAATGATTTGTATATTTGATAGGATGTACTCTTCCGTGTGATTCGTAATGAAGGTGTGTTCGCTCTGTGGAAGGGATTCACTCCATATTACGCGCGATTGGGTCCGCACACAGTATTGACGTTTATATTCTTAGAACAGGCGAATCAGGCCTATAAACAACATGTCCTCAAAGACTTCTCTGGCGGCGGCGGTCTTTGATCTCAATTGAAACAAATTCTCGCAAAATATTAGTTATAGATTTTATTTGGTTTTAACATATCTATAGATTTTAAAACAATTATGAAATAAATTGATTTGTTATTAGTAAACAAAGTTATTATTTTAAACTACTCTTTAAGAATCATTGGAACTGATATTTCTTTCACTTTATCGCTTCCCATAAGTTTGTCAACAATAGCTAAAGCGAACTCAAATGCAGTTCCCGGACCTCGACTTGTAATCAACTGTCCATCGATCACAACCCTATCCTCGCTGTAGTCGTAGTCGGACTTCAGTTCTTGCGCTTTAGACGGATGTGAAGTAATTTTCTTCTTGAGTCCAATTCGATGGCTTTTCAGAGCTATAGGCGCCGCACATATGGCTGCTATCACTCGCTTTGAGTCCTCCTGTTGTCGAAGTAGTTGTCCGACGAGTGGAGAGGCGGCCAAAGCATTGGCGCCTTCGAGACCGCCGGGCAATACAATCACATCAAACTCTTGTTTCACTTCTGATAATGAAATGTCCGGAACTATCACTACATCGCGACTGCATTTGACCGCATCTTTGCCCGAAAGGCCGCCCATTATAACCGAAATCTGTTCGCAAACATCGATGTATTAAATAGTTTAGATTTAATGAATCCAATGCTTACGCCTCCTCTCCTCAAGACATCAACAGTAATGACTACTTCCATCTCTTCGGCGCCGGTGGCCAACAATACCAGAGCTTTCGGTGACATTTGTTTAACAATTAATGTGACGTTAATTAATAATGTGTTGTAAATATGCCAAACATTATAATTTCATTTAACTTTGATTTTTTATATTTCAATATAAAAGTGAATGTAACAGAAAATGCTGTAAACAATGTAAAGGGTGTTCCAAACACATCAGTCAATTATCTTTACTGCAAAAGTTGGACAATTTTTGACTTTACTCGAGTCATTCCATTTTATTGTCAGTATTTCATTTTATTAAACTCTGGGTAGTTTGATAACAATATTTAAATTATGAGCATTTCCATTAGTTAAATTAAAATAATTGGTAAGAAAATGTAACAGTAATTTTCCAAAAATAACTGAAATCAATTTTTTTAAAATTATCTTACATTCAGTGTAGTGACGTATGCCGTGTTTGTCTATCACAAAATGATTTAAATACTCAACAAACGACTTGCTGAATTAGTTAATTATTAATAATATATTATTATTCTATTATTATTAATATTATAGTATATGCATTATCGACTTTAATTTCCATCATATAAAATTATTAAAATAATATTATGTAGAATATATGCAATGATATAAATTCTGGATTTTGAGATTCTCCATTCTTGGTATCCAAAATACCTGCCACCTCTTTGAAACATGTACCCTAAAAGTCCGTGCATTACCTGCGGGTTATCTATTAAAAAAGTGAAATTTTTAAAAAATTCTTATGTGCGGGTTATCAATGGGGTGGGTTATGTATTTGCTTACTATAGAATAGAATAGAATAGTATTCACATAAAAAATTTTGAGATGCGGGTTATATATGGGTGCGGGTAATGCACGGACTTTTAGGGTACATGTTTCAAAGAGGTGGCAGGTATTTTGGATACCAAGAATGGAGAATCTCAAAATCCAGAATTTATATCATTGCATATATTCTACATAATATTATTTTAATAATTTTATATGATGGAATTCTATTCTATTCTATAGTAAGCAAATACATAACCCACCCCATTGATAACCCGCACATAAGAATTTTTTAAAAATTTCACTTTTTTAATAGATAACCCGCAGGTAATGCACGAAATTTTAGGGTACTACCAAACTACAAAATTAAAATTAACTTTTGGCTCAAACTGCCTATGAATGAACATCTGAAAAGTCAGAATATAAATCTGTAAATATGTGGATCACTCTGTACAGTGCATTCTTGTACAGTATAACGTAACATATTCTGTAATGTAAATTTACGTAAATGTATGTAACATTTAAAATTCGATTGTCCGTGAATTAAAGTATCGTATAAACTTTATACTAATTTAGTTGTTACTTATTACTAATAATTTACTATCAATATATTAGATACTGTAATCATGTTTGTTATTCAAAACATGTTGTGTATCAATTAATTTAATTACTTTAAAACTTTGGTCATATTAAATTATGTTAAAATTAAAAGTGTTGACTCTATTAATGTGATTTATAGTGCTATATTTTACTTGTATACTATTTAACGCTATATTTATTTTGCTTTGACTTTTGAATTTAACTTTTTTATATTACTGTTACACCAAATATCATGAATTTAACAAACATTTAACACATTTGCAAACACATAATGAAATATTTTATTAAATTAATTCACTTGACTTGAATAGCATAATTCGCTAGTTGTTTTCATAATTCCATCTCTCTCTCTCTCTCTCTCTCTCTCTCTCTCTCTCAATTAAAACTAGAGTGTAGTCTCGTATAGACATAACTTGTTCAACATTGGTAATGATATGTATTGCTCTCTCTCTCTCTCTCTCTCTCTCTCTCTACGGAGAATAATAAAATGATTACATGTATAACCAAACTGCAAGAATTCAGATATAAACGTTTAAACTTTAAACCATTCATTCCAATAATTAATTCATACAAATGTTTAATGTATAAAATGTCTACCAATTTATTCCAATTTATTTTATGCATTACTAAAAATGTTTGATTTTATGACAAAACATTAAATTTAATGTTAAAATTCAATTAGTCCTGAAATTTAGGTTTAATTAAATTGGTTTCCCTTCTATTCTTGCGGATCAAGTCTTGGATTCTCTCTAACTTCGCCTCTCGAGTGTCTTCTTTGGGCATATTATCGATGGTGTGAAGAATATTGTGGACATACTTCTCGGCGTCGAAGTCTTCGGCCTCTTTGATGTGTGCGAGCAGTTCCGCTCTAAACACCTTCTCTTTCTTGATATTTCTGCGCAAATACTTCTTCTTAATGAAAGCCAACATCTTTTTCCTCCACTTTCTTCGCTTGTGTTTCGCCATTTTGTGTCTCCGAATGACCGTTAAGTGAGTGTAAGCGCGAGGATTGCGGTTCCGCTTGAAGTCCAGACGCATCGCTGTCGGCGACTCAGACACCACTTCCCGGCCATCCGTTTCCCAATCGATGGTCTCTTTGTTTGTGATCTCAAACTGTCTTAAGTTTGGCACAAGAATTGGATTCACGGGTCGAGTGCACGGATGGCATGTATTCATCATAATGTATGTCTTGTTTGCCACCAATTGATCCAAAATAGACTCTCTTTTTAAGTCGATTTCATTGATTATGTTATATGTGTTTGAAATGATTGGATAGTAATGAAGACATTCGTGAATCTTATCATTAGATTTAGTGTTAAATGACTGCAAATCGGAACAAATCATTCGTCTCAAGAACTTTGTGGTCATTTGCAATGATATTTGAAGACATCTATAGAAATGTTAAACAATATATCGATTCAATTACTGGTTGTCTATAAATTGTGGTTACCTTTGATTGGATCTAAGATGTGATAAAATAAGTGAAGACATTGTCCGGCTTTCAGTCACTTCACAGACTCTTCACAACCAAAACAAACCAATGCTTAACACAACACAACATTTGGGTCAACACAACACTAGTGTCCTCTCGAGACACTCATTAAGCCATCAAAAAGTTTATTCCTTTACCGCTATTTCAATATTAATTCTCTGTTTTATTCATTTTTTTTGTTAAGATTTCCATTTTTAATGACAATTGTGTTATAAATTAAATGTAACGAATAAACTGTTTTCCACGACTGGAGTTTCAATAAATTCTCAATTTACGATATTTTGTCTCTAGAATGAAATTTTTTAGAAATTATTTTTACTAACAGTAATATTGTTAGCATTTAAGTCAAGCAAGCTAGTCACGTAATTTCGATATTTTCAGATAACAAACTAGACATATGGACCATCATGATCTAGCTGATCTAGCTCATTCCGTTCGGGAGATATAACGAAAGTTGAGGCCACAACATATAATAACGGACTATATATCATATCAATATTAATACTGTTTTTCCCATTCGGTGTCTCTAATCATTAAAATCAATGTTTAGGAAACGAATTAAATGTTATACAGTATTATATTATATTTATTCAATAGTCTAGCTCTTTTAAAAAAAGTTATAATTAACATTCTCTCTCTCTCTCTCTCTCTCTCTCTCTCTCTCTCTCTCTCTCTCTCTCTCTCTCTCTCNTTTACAGAGGTTATAAAATGAGTCGAGAGAGAGAGAGAGAGAGAGAGAGAGAGAGAGAGAGAATGTTAATTATAACTTTTTTTAAAAGAGCTAGACTATTGAATAAATATAATATAATACTTTATAACCTCTGTAAATGATAAAATGTAACACATGGATAGATATTACTGTAAATACTGTAGTATTTAGAGATATTGCTACATTTAATGTTAGAATTGTTAAGACATTGAAACAAATAAATCATTTATAATAATTGAGACAGGAATCAAATGGAGAATTGAGCCCTATTTTAATACCGCTTTATTCCAATTCTTGACTCTATATCTGTTACTGTATTTCTGGATTATTGGAGTATAAGTGAGTCAAAAGACTTAAATTGAATTAATGTTGACTTGAAATCAATCCTTGGGATTAGAGAATAAGTTTTAAATGAAGTGAATGTAAAGCATAAATACATTGAATAGCAATGAATGAATAAACTTTCCAAACAATATCACATCCTTTACTATGAATGTAAAGTAAAACTTCATTCAAAATGAGAACAAACTTAACAAATAATTTTTTCTTATTCTAACCATTTATTTGTCAAATACTCTCATAAAGAGCGGTGTAGTTATAGTGTGAAGTTTAGTGATATTTAAATTTTTTATATTTTATATTACTGTATAATCATTACAATGAATTTTAATAGTTTTAATTGCTTTCAATTTTATGATAAATTTTTATTTTATTTTTATGCAAACATTTTAATTTGCTTTCATTGGAATACAGTTTATGGTAAGTATAAGTAAATCTAGTGATCAACTTATAGTTGCATAAAAATGATTGATTGTCCAGGAATTGGATGCGGGGAAAGACCGGCAGAACTGTTGCGTTCGAGTCGTATAGTGGGAGGAGTGGACGCGTACTACGGAGAGGCCCCGTGGCAGGCGCTCCTCAAGGAGGCCAAGTTCTTCGGCTTCTGGAAGTTCAACAAATGCGGTGCTGTTCTCGTCAGTCATAATTGGGTCATAACAGCCGCGCACTGCAACACCGGTCTCTTCGGTTCACTTCAAGTGGTTTTCGGCGAATATAATCTTAAGAATCCCGAAATGATTGAAACGGGAAGTACTGTCGTCGAGAACCCACCTGTTGTTAGAAGAGCTAAACGAGTAATAATTCATCCAAAGTATAATCACATGACTTTAGAAAATGATTTGGCGCTCATTGAGTTGGACTCCGATGTGGAATATGAGCGACACATACAACCCATTTGTCTGCCAGAAAAAGATACAGATTTTGTCGGTTCGGAAGCGTATGTGAGCGGTTGGGGTGTCATGTCTTATGGTATGTATCCATCAAATAAATGTCTAATTATAAGTAAAACATTGCAATTTGTTCTCAACAGCGGAGAAAAATATACCGGAAGTGTTGCAAATAGTAAAGGTTCCCATCGTTTCAAATGAGAAATGTGAACAAATGTATAGAAAAACGAAATACCATTTCGTGGCCAGAGATACCATAGTCTGCGCCGGATATGCCATCGGAGGTAAAGACTCGTGTGAAGGAGATTCCGGCGGACCATTGGCTGTACGATATGGACCTGAAGGGCGCTGGACTTTAGTGGGCATTGTTTCCAATGGTATCAAATGTGCAGAACCTAACTTACCCGGCATTTACACCAGAATTTCACAATATAATGATTGGATCGTTCAAACTGTTACAAATCAAAGCTAATATATATTATATAACATTTATTATTTAAAACCAAGTAATTTTTTGCCAAATATTTCATTGAATTTCATATTACTTTTACATTCTGTATTTTATTTATTATAAATTGCAAAAAAAAAGTCAAACAAATCTTGAAATAAAAACACAAATTTATTATTTAGCACTAAATTGATATTAATATCAATTACAGAACATGGTATGTGAATTGTATTAAAAATTAGCATAATTATTTTGTTATAAAATTTTATTGATTATGTCGATGAGATTCCAAAATTGAAGCTAGGTCAAAATTATAAGTTAAACTATAGAATCTCATAAGTTATGAGTCATAACATATGAAACTTGAAGACTGCAAAAAAGCAAACTTTATGTGAAATAATTTGAAAAAAGCGCTTTCAATGGCAAACAACACGTGCTTTGAGTTTGTGTTGATTTTGAAACATTAATTTGTGTTTCATTACTGTTGGCGTAAAACATGTGTTAAATGTTTGGATTTAAATCACATTTGATTTTATAGTGAGAAATGTCTTCAGATATAGAGATGGACTCCATTTGTAAAGTAATTGCAAACCATTTTGTTTGACATTTAATTGAATGATCTCTTTATTGAAATGGACAGCAAATGCAAGAGAAGGCTCTGAATGCGACCAAATGCTCGCTCGCCATCAGGTCTTGGGATCACAATTATCTCAACACTTCTCACAAATTCAATCAAATCCTCAAACATGAGAACAATGAATGTCTTGAGATGTATGTCCTCTCCTTTGTTATCCATTTTGTCTGTCATTATCTAATGATTGAATCACTTGTTGAAGGCTTTCATCTCTTATACAAAATGAATACAAAGGGAAGCGAATCGAGAAAATGGTTGTCGACGAAGACAAGAGTGATCTCATCACTGAACTCAATGATAATATCTTTGATAAAATTGTAGGTCTTTTTGTGGTGACATTTAATGATATCTAATATGATTTTTGTGATCATTTTGTATCCAAAGGGGAACTATTTGGATGAGGCGTTGGGTCTGAAGCAAAAGGAGGCGGACCTCGTGTTGGCCACCGTTGGCGCCGACAATAAGACATCTGTCAACTCGTGCACCACTTCTTCGTGGAATAGGCATATAATTCGTGCCAAAAGAGGAGTCAATTGTAAACTACTTTCGGCTAAAGTGGTGGAGAGATCACAGATGAGGTTCAAAGACAAGATCGACAACAGTAACCATCCATTCGTCCCCATAATCAAAGAGAAGGCCAACTCTATTAGACCGTTAGCCATATTACCCGAGAAGACTGAATTGGGATTTGACTCATATTCACATCCATATGAAGTGGAGATCGAAAAGTTTGAACCAAAGGAACATTTCTTGCAAATAGAAATACCAGAAGTAAATGAACTGTTTTTAAATATTGTTGTTATTATAAATTAATTACAACTTTTGATTGCAACAAAGTTTCCGAAACCGCTGTCTGAGACACCATTCAAATACATTACAACAATTGAAGATTTAATTGAATTGTGCAAAGATCTCAAGACATGTGATGTTATTGCAGTTGATTTGGAGGTAATTTTTCTCAATTTTGATTTAAGTTAAAAATTAATTTATTTTATTGTTAATAATAGCATCACTCGTACCGAACATTTCAAGGTTTTACGTGTTTAATGCAAATATCAACCAAAAGCTGTGATTATGTTATCGACACAATTGAGTTGAGATCTGAAATGAATTTACTGAACGAAGTTTTCACTTGTGCTTCAATACTAAAAGTATAATTTATAATTAGTATAATTAATAGTATTATTGTAACAACTATTACAACATAATTGACAGGTATTTCATGGGGCGGATATGGATGTGGTTTGGCTGCAAAGAGATTTTGGCATTTATATAGTGAACCTCTTCGATACGTTTCACGCGTCAAAATTGCTTGACTTTTCCCATCTCTCGCTCTCATTCTTATTAAAACATTACTGTAATCTTGAGGCCGACAAACAGTTTCAATTGGCCGACTGGCGGATCAGACCACTCACTCCCGAGCTCTTGAAATACGCGCGCGAAGACACCCATTACTTGATATTTATTTACATTCAAATGAAGAATCAATTGATTGCCGCCGGAAATAATGAAAAAAATTTATTGAAAGCAGTGTTTGAAAGGAGTAAAAATGTTTGCCTTAAAGTGAGTTCCATTAGTGTTAGAACTGTTTGGGAGTTTAATTGACAATTTATATGATTTCTAGAAATACGAAAAACCATTACATAATAGCGAGAGCTATCGTTCGTTGCTTAAGAAATGCAAAGTTAACTTTAATTCAAGACAAATGTTTGCATTGAAAGAGTTGTACGATTGGAGGGACAGAATGGCTCGAAATGAAGATGAAAGCACAGGGTTTGCATCAATTCTTTATCCACTCTAATTGTATAATAATATTTGATTTACTTTTAAATAGTTATGTTTTGCCAAATCATATGCTTTTACATATGGCTGAAGTTTTGCCGCGGTTTGTATATATTATTATTGGTAATACTGTTGAATGAAAACTAATTGATTGCAACATATGATAATAGGGAACAGCAGGGAATTCTGGCCTCTTGTAATCCAGTGCCGCCTTTAGTTAAGCAACAACTCAATGAAATTCATTTAATAATATTGAAGGCGAGGGATAGACCGGTAACCAAATCGGATGAAAAAGTGACCAAACAGTCAAACATTGATAGATTTGCGAATCGAGTGATTGATTTGGACGAACAGATCGATTCAAAACACGACAAATTTGCCGCAGACTCTGATATCAATACTAAGCCTTTGATTGAACAGTTTGAAGGTTTGTTTTGTGATGTTTGCTATTGTTTTCTAACGTAATGTTTTTTCAAAAAAAATTTAGACAAAGAGTTTTGTGAATTACAAGAGTCAGCGAATGAGGAACCGCTCAAAAAATGTTCACAATTTATTGATTTCTTTAATAACAAGACTCAACCGATTAGATGTAAAACCGTTGAAAACATTTCGTCGTCTTTTATATCACAGTTTGAGAGAGTAATTGATTTATTAATTAACTATTTTTACCCTTTATTTTATTATTAATTTTTACAAATATTTTAGTATAACTTAACGATTGGACGACAAAACGATATTAAACCCGAAGAAAACGGAAAGATTGCGGACAAAGTGATGAAGAAATTAAAGAAATAAAATGTACTAAAAATTTAATAATTATAGTAAAATGGTGTAAATTAATATTTTTACATAAATATAATTATAACAATAAATAGTTATTATATTTAAATCAAATAAAACATACAGTAATTGAATGAAATGAATGTGTTTTTCATTGATGTTTGAAAATAGCGGTCAAATGATTGAGTGGAGAGACGCCTATGAATGAGGAAATGAGTGAATGTTTAGTTGTATTGATATTTACAATAAGATTGTGATTGTATTGAAAGACAATATCTATTAAAATGACATTTGATGTGAAAAGCGATCATTTGTTTAATTGTTTTCATTTTAATTATTTGTGTTTTTATTTACATTTAATTTGTTATGAATTATAAGAAGAGATATCTGGCGAAGAAGTGTGAAGAAGAATGACAACAATCGGCACAAATGCCACAACAATTGGCTCGATGTCTGTCTCCACCGCAACCAGTGGCCAATCCTATGCCGTTAACAGCGGTTCCAACGGATCCAATGGTTTGTTGGCCTCAATAAATCAATTGCCAAATGATTTGTTGGCCAATAAAGAGATCTTCACGACTCTGTTGGGCGATTGCGAGTCTGTTTGGCATCAGTTGAACGACAATACGAGACAACAATTGGTGGACAACTATCTGCCGAAAGAGCTGTCTTTGAGTGATAAGGAGAAGACAATCCAACTCTTACTGAGCGGACAATTGAATCGTTTTAACAATGATTTGTTGTCCGATATCTTTGTTTCGTTGAAAACCCATAAAATGAGTCCCGATTTGCTTAAGGCTTTAGAAGACGTCAAGACATTGAAGAAGAAGTTGTTTGCCATTTATGAACAGAAGAGACAATCGCTTCTTCTCAATGAAGTGATCCATAAGAGGAGACAATTTTTCGATCAATCGATTCAAACAAACAAATCAATTGAAATGAAGAAAACGGTTAAAAATGCATTAATTTCTGAATCAAAGTCTCTGAAAGAAAGGGTTCGCGAAAGATATCGCAAAGAACTGAAAGACATTTGCAATAAAAACGACAACTCGTCTGAAGAGGAAGACTACGATTTGAAACATACGATTGAAAAGTCATTGATGTCTAAACTGAATGGAAGTATTAATGGTTCAGTGAATCCAATGAGTGATAAACAATACTTTGAAATGCTTAGAAAGCATAAGAGAAAACGAAAAGCCAAAGAGTGTAACAATTCATACGAACCCACTCTCGAGATCCATAGCATTACCTTAAGTGATATCATCACGAGAGTGACCAACACTGCCATCACCACCAACTCGACCAACACTTGTAAAACAGTGAACACGTTATCACAAACACATACCAACAATGCTCTCAAGTCTTCCTCAATACCAACGCCTAAGAAGAAGGCAAAGCACTCGACGTTCACGAAAACCATTCAAACAAATCAAACAAAAATTCTTCCAAAATCTCATTTACACAAAATTAAAGTCGAAAAAGAGGTGATAATTGAATCCGAATTATCCGCTAAAAGTGATGTTAACAATAAAGACAGTGTTTTCAGTATTAATGATAAACAGACTGTTGATAACCTGAACACTAATCTGACGATAAAAACAAATGATTTGGTGATCAAATCGAGTACTACTTCTCCAAAGATTTCAAGTGTTAATGAAATTGAGTGTCCAATTGTGACAACACTTCCGCCTCAACCGGTTGTCAAACAATCGACACCTAATACCACACAAGAGACGGTTAGTCCTGCGGTCGCGCCTCCAGTAGTGTACGAAAAGGCGCCCAAATGTTTCTTCTCATTACTTCGTGACATATTTATGTCGAGCGGATCCAGTGATCAAAGACTCACTTTACATAAGTTGGAAGAACTGGTGAAAGAGAAACTGCGAGCCTATAGTCCACATATCGGTTGGTCAACAGAAATGGTGGCCTCAGCCATGAACTACTTGAGTGGAGTGCTTCCACCGCCACATCTGGTGCCTCTCGTCGACTACAAAGAGAAGAACCAACAGTGGCAGTGGATTGGAGGCGGAAGGGATCGCGACCAGGAGTTGATCCCTCTTTCCGATCAATGGATTAAGAATAAAGACGAAGACCCGACCGCAGGACTGATCAACTTCTCGCAGACATTGCCTCCGCCCGCCAAATGCCTCACCGATTGGATCGTTAAGCCGTCCAGTGATGAAGAAAAGAGCGTTTATCGTAAACAAGAGGCCGTGAGATATAACAATCCGTACAAAGCGTTCACTTATAAAGTGCACGGATATGAGAGTGTTGTCGGACCCGTCAAGGGTTGTGGTATTGGCGCCGCAAACGGTCATAACGTTTCGAGTCCTAATAAGGCGAGAGAACATTCACTCCTTGTTAACGATAGGCCACCGTTTGTGACACTATTAAGTTTGGTGAGAGACGCGGCCGCACGACTGCCCAACGGCGAGGGCACCAGAGCTGACATTTGCGAACTCCTTAAAGATTCTCAATACCTGTTGCCGACCATATCTGACCAACAAGTGAATGGTATAGTGAGCGGTGCTCTCGACCGACTTCACTACGAAAAGGATCCGTGCGTTAAGTATGACGTAAACCGAAAGGTTTGGATTTATTTACATCGAAACAGAACTGAAGGCGAGTTCGAGCGCTTACATGAGGTCCAGATCGCAGCCGCAAAGGCTAAGCGATCGATGACTAAAGCCTCGCGAAAGACTAATTGTGTTACAAACCAAAGCAATCAATTGAGTCAAACGACGGGACAGCTGTTCACAAAGACTACACAACAGGCCATACATCAGGCGGTCACTAATATTTTGAATTCAGAAGCGCTTAAATTGACCACAAAATCGGCTTCTAATTCGAGTGATAATTGTGAGAATCCTGTGGTCAGCGGTTCGACCGAAACCGTGAATTTACACAAAGGATTTGTTTCCGATTTGAAGACTTCTATATTAGTGAACGCTAACAAAGAGAAAGATGTGTCTCAAGTGAACTCTTTGAGTCCGTTCAATGGGTCCACAACTGCGACCACTTTAACATCAAATTCTTTATTTTTGTCACTTCAGGCAAACAATCAGATCCACTGCAAAACAGACGTCACTTCTTCTGGCAGTTTATCCATTGATAAGAAAAAGCCAACGAAACCTAAAGACAATAAAGTGATTGAGCCGTCGAAGAATATCAAACCATTAGACATCAAACAGAGTATTATTGTGTCGACAAATAGTATCACTCAGTCGAGTGTCAGCCTTTCCATAGCATCGACTGATGGCACGAATACTATTAAAAGTGAATCCAATGTTACAAAAGTTGTACAAAAACCTCGACAACCAGTTAGACAAACAAAGCCTCCGATTAAAGTCCAGTTCCCGAAGGCTATCACTCTTCCGATCCCTATAACGCAAAATACTCTTAAAGCTCAGCCAACGATCACGACATGTGCCGCATCGGAGGTTCTGCCGACTCTCATCAGTGTTACCAACCCTTCAAACAAAACCACCACTTTGTCATCCAATACAGAGTCTCTACAACAAAGACCATTGACTACTAAATTGATATCCGGTCCGTATCTGAACAGCAATAGTGGTTCCGGCGGTGCCAACAATCAAATGCATCAAATAAGTATACCTACGAGTGTACTGTTTGGCGCTCGACCCGGTTCTGTTGTATTAGGTCTGTTCTCTCACTTGATTTCTCATTCAATTGAATGTCATATTAATTTATGTTTCAAATAATAGCCACTCCGACGGGAAAGTCTTATATGATGGCGGCTGCGGGCGGTTCTATTGTTCTTCAACCAAACTCTAGCGCTCCGTCTATGAGTAATTCGTCGGAAACTACTGGCACTCAATCGACTCAACCGCTTGCCGTTCGCACACTTCAAGGTATTCGTGTCATACCAGTGAACGCCAACCCAAACACCAAAATTCATACCCCAATAACTGCTAAAAACAACGGACCGAACGCACCGGTAGTGATGGCCACTCAGCCCCAGACGGCTAACATTCCCGCTCATCACCAGTTCGTCGCCCGTATAATAACGACCGCCCAAACCAATAGAGGGAATATACCTCAGACTCAAATTGTCATCCCTTCCACCTCTTCTCTGCAGCCATTATTTATAGCACATCCGTCGCAGAGCGCCGGCACCTCTCAGCCAATCATACAGCAGTTGACTACAACCACAACCACAACAACCGCACAGCTATCTAATGATATGCAGAAGACGAACGTGACGTTGACTCTCCCTCGGGAACGACAACCAACTAATCCTAATTCTTAGTTAAATTACATTAATAAACAATAGGATCACAAATCTCTAACTGTTTATATGATTGACAACTGATTTAATGGTCAAACGAGTGACAAAATGCGATTAATAAGTACTTTAAAGGACTGAAAGTTTGATTAAAATCATGAGAACTACTTATAAGTGGACTAAATATCGATTCCGTAATTCAACTCAGAATTCAATTAAAATACGAGTTTATTTGAAAGATATATATAATAGATAAATATATTTTGAGTCTATAAATGAGTTTTTTGTAATAATGTATTAAATATTGTAATTAATTAGTATCAAAATTAAATATTAAAACATGAACTTTAATATGAAATTAGTTTATTTGAAATATGTTTCAAATTATATATTAAATTAAATTTGTAATAAATTTCCTATTCAACAGTTGATTCATATTTACTTATTAATCTTAATAAATTACCATGTTTGCCCCAAACCAACAACTTACATGGTAAAGTAGGATTAAATGATGGTAACTTTTACAATATGTGATAACACATTTGAGAAGTGTTTGGTTGAACGAAAGCACACACATAGAGGCCATGGTTGGCATCATTCATACATACAGTACATACAGTCCATAACAGCCCTCTGTGTATAGCATTAGCGTTGAGTGAAAGGCTTTGACAATACATTTGTGAATGAAGTTTGTTTGGCCGCCACTGCTGTGATCATTGATGAGTGATGTCTGGATTGTGTTGAGTACTAAGACTGGTTGGAAGCGATTGCCAGACCAGTGGTGACAATGACAACAGTGTTGATGATAGCGGAGAAGCCATCGTTGGCCCAATCGTTGGCTATAATCCTGTCTAATGGGCGACAGAAGAGTCGGAAGGGACTGAACAACGCCTGCAATGTTCACGAATACTACTCTTCATTCAGAGGACACAAAGAGGTTTTGTTCAAATTCACGTCAGTTTGCGGTCACGTCTTCTCCACGAACTTCACCTCCAAATACAACAATTGGGACAAAACGGATCCAAAGGAGCTCTTCGACTGCCCCACCATCAAAGAGGAGGCGAATCCGAAGTTGAATTTAATTAAGTTTTTACAGAAAGAGGTATTGATTGTCAATGAATTGATCCGTTAATGTCTTGCGGTTGTCGTGTAATACGAGTTGATTTGTTTGCATATAAGGCCCGCGGATGTGATTATTTGGTCCTTTGGTTGGATTGCGATAAAGAGGGCGAAAACATATGCTTTGAAGTCATTAATTGTCTCAACTCTTCAATGCATATATCCTTTAAAAATCCTCAGGTTTTCAATTGATTCACTTGTAGTGAAAGTAAACATTAATTTTGATTTAAATTGAATGATAATTAGACTGTATTTCGGGCCAAATTCAGTGCAATCACTGACAAGGATATTAAGGCAGCCATGAATTCACTGATTCTTCCCAACGAATTGGAATCACTTTCAGTGGACGCCCGACAAGAACTCGACCTCCGGATCGGCTGTGCATTCACTCGATTTCAGACCACATTTTTTCACGTAATTTAATACATATTTTTGTGACATTTAGTGTTGTGTTAATGTATTAATTGTTATGACATGTAAAGGGAAAGTACGGAGATTTGGACAGTTCTCTCATATCGTACGGCCCGTGTCAGACACCGACTCTTGGTTTCTGTGTCGACCGACACGACAAGATTCAGACGTAAGCAATGATTTAATATGCAATTACTGTTATCAACAAAATGTTGTATTTGTAAAGTTTCAAACCCGAGCCGTATTGGGTTCTCTGTGTTTCGGTGCGTTCGGCCAACAATGAGTCGGCACAAGCGATGGCACTGGAGTGGGACAGAGGGCGGGAATTCAATCAAAACATCGCAAAGTCTTACTTGAATTCAGTGAAGTCGAAGTCAAGAGCAAAACTCGTCAAAATGTCGACCAAAGAGAAGACGAAGCCTCGACCTAACGCTTTGAATACTGTGGAACTGTTGAAGATCTGCAGCTCAGGGCTCGGCATTGGTCCGCACACAACGATGCAAATCGCTGAACGACTTTACACACAGGGATATATCAGTTATCCGCGAACCGAAACCACTCAATATCCCAGTAATTTTGATTTAGTATCGACTCTAAGATTAATGTCTTCGAGCAATGATTGGGGACAAGAGGTTAAATCGCTTCTTGAGACGGGAATATCGAGACCGAAATCAGGTCACGACGCGGGAGACCACCCGCCCATCACTCCCATGAAGATCGCACAACAGCACGAATTGGGCGATAGAGACTCATATCGTATATACGAATACATTTGCCGCCACTTCATAGCCAGCGTTAGTGCAGATCTGAGGTACGATCAAACGACACTTGCCTTCGCCATCGGATCCGAAACCTTCTCCAAAGTGGCCTCAATTGTGACCGATCCTGGGTTTACACGCTTTATGTCCTGGCATTCAATACCAAACGATGCAAAATTGTCGTCAAGTCTTAGAGTTGGCGACGAATTCTTGATAACTGACGCAAAACTATCCGAACGGATGACTACAGCGCCGGACTATTTAACGGAATCGGGTATTGTTTTGCTACACAATATCATTGTCTTAGTTATAATTTATATAAATTAATTCATATTTAAATTTAGAGGTGATATCATTGATGGAAAAGCACGGCATCGGAACCGATGCTTCAATTCCAACGCACATTAATAACATATGTCTAAGAAATTATGTTAAAATCGCTTCCGGAAGACGTCTTATCCCAACACAATTGGGAATAGTGTTAGTCCACGGATACCAGAAGATTGACAGCGATCTCGTTTTGCCCACCAGTCGGGCAGCCCTTGAGAAACAGCTCAACGAGATATGCGCCGGAAGAGTCGACTTTCAAATAGTTCTCAACAAAACTATTGATGAATTCAAAAATAAATTCGTGTATTTTGTCGAAAGAATCCCTCAAATGGACGAACTCTTTGAAGTCTGTTTCTCTTCTTTGGCTGATTCAGGAAAACCTATTTCAAGGTTTTTAGACCACAAAATAAGATTTTTATTTAAATCCAATGTAATTAATATTTGATTTATAAGGTGTGGTAAATGTCGGCGATATCTGAAGTTAATCGCCGCCCGACCTCAACGAGTCTATTGCGCGACTTGTAATGAGACGTATTCTATCCCTCAAAACGGAAACATCAAGACATATAAGGAGTTGCGCTGTCCTATCGATGACTTCGAACTCCTCTATTTCTACAAAACTGGTACTTCCGACAAGAGTTTTGTCTTATGTGTCCACTGTTTCAATAATCCTCCCTTTGAATCGATGGCCAAATCTTCGGGTTGTAATCAGTGTCCGAACGAAGAATGCAAGCATTCAATGGTTTCAAACACTTTGACCGAATGTCAGAACTGTAAATACAATGGAGTGCTTGTATTGGATCCGGGATCAGGTCCTCCCACGTGGAAGATTGCGTGCAATAAATGCAATTTCTCAATGTCTGCATTCAAAGACGCACAGAAAATAACGATTGAGACCCAGTTGTGTGAGACATGCGGTCGGAAGTTGTGCTCAATTGAGTACAAAGCGGACAAATCTCGTCTCAAAGATGGATCTCTTCTATTCCACGGCTGTGTTTGGTGTTCAACAGAATACTCTTCATTAGTACAGGCAATGAGTCGACTACAGGTCAACACAGCCAACAGAGCCAACGGATCTGATGGCAGACCACAGTATCAATTGGACGGAAACAGTGGTTACAGCGGGAGTCGAGGCGGTGGACGAGGAAGGGGTCGGGGAAGAGGTCGCGGAAGGGGTAGAGGCAGAGGCGGTGGAAGAGGCAGAGGACGTGATCGAGACAGAGATGACGACGAGTACTCACATTCTGCTCCAAAGGGCGCAATGACTCTCTCAGACTTCCTCTAAAACTAATGTTTTATGAATTTAAAACTTTTTTCATTCAAATAAATTCAGTTTATTTTGCCATTCAATCAAAACCTATACGTCTATACTTCCCTTAGAACGCGTGTTCAATATAACCACCAAATAGTTTAGATTAAAAATAAATGATTTGTGCCAAAAATCTTTTATTATAACTAAAGCTTCCAATCTTCGGGAATTCCCGAATAAATTAGTTAACAAAATCATCGGGAATTATATACCATTAGGTTTAGGGGTTATAGATCAAAAATATATAAGTTTTATTTTCCCGATTTTGGCCTATTTTGAGAAAATTCCCGATTTTAGCATATTTTTGGAAAAATTCTCGAAAAGTCTATTTTTATTACAAATATTTACGAAATTAGACATTTTTCGGAGAAAATTGTTTATTTTATAGCTATTTCGTCAAAACTCTTATCATAACTGATATCAGTCAATACGTGTTTTGTAATCCACAAGATTATGAGATGAGATGTCTTACAAAATATGAATTGATTTTCTCCGTCGAAGGCATTCATTAAGTAAAGAAAATTTCAAATTTCATGTCATTATCAAATCATTTCTAAATTATTTAAATGCATAATTATTGTGTTAAAATTGAATAAAAACATAATCCCCAAATTTTCCCGATTTTGACTTTTATTCCCGAATTTCGATGTTTCTACTCCCGAAGAATGGAAGCTTTAATTATCAAGTGGTTTGAAATTTGGCCATAACTTCGGTGTTTGTGGCCGTTCGCAGGTTTTGACATCTTAATACACATCTACTAATTATACTGAACACGACCATATCAACCCCGACGAAATCCGGTTATTGACGTAGGGCACATTTTTAACTTTCTTAAGCTTTATTAAATGAACACTTATTTGTGACTTATTAAGTGAATATTCATGAATTGATAATATTGTTGGAATGATGTATTCGATCGTTGGATTCTTTAAGCAACGATTAACAGAATTGAACCAAAACTAAATTAAAACTTGTTTATAAAGAATACATGAATAACATTCTGAACTGATTCTTTACATTACATTCTGTACCGATTCTATGTGTAGATGGCATGAGATTTGCCAAAATTGGGCTCAAAATTCAAACATATTATGGAATGCAATAATAGTAAACCAATTCTTCACATTCTTATTAAAATATCAAAATATTAATGAACATTATATTGAGTATTAAAGAGTAATGCAATCACTATAAGAACCCACTCTCAGGGAAATACCTTTCTATAATGAGATTTGGAAACATTTGAACCCAAAACAACCTCTTTCAGGGAACCACTTCTTAAGAAATGTAGTTTTATTGGAAATTGATTTATAGAGATCGAGGTCAAATTATCATCTTATAAGAAACAAACATATTAAATGTAGAAATATTTTGAACATTTCCAAACATTCGACAAACATAAGATATTACATGCTGTCAGATATTGCCGCTGACCACTAATTAATAATGCTTTTACAATATTGGATTTTATCATGTATTTTATTAAGTTATAACTTATAAGCTTGGGTAGCGAGTAAATACAGTGCACAGTGTATGTTATACCATAACATTGCATGGTAAACTTTATGCCATACGGTATAAGCAATTTAGGCAGGATGTTATTATCATTAATTGAAATACAATATTGTAACTTTAAGTAAAAGTAATTAACATAGCTTAATAAATCTAATGTAAACATAAATATAAACATGGTTGTTTAGTAAAAAACATGTAGATGTCTAGACGTCTACAATATCTCTAATGTTAACATTGATTTGCGTTTCGAATTACATTATTCTGAACTATTACAATTGTATATTATTGTCAGCTAAATTAGGTAAAATTGTGAATATTAAATTAATATTCTGTTTTAATTATATTAATTATGAATATCTTCTATTATCTTTTTTATTAATAACAAAAAAGCCTGAAATAACTGATTATCTTCATTAATACCGTACCATAATATACCAAAGTTGCCATGCAACAGCCAGTTTCTTATAGAAGGGTTACACTGTATGATCAATTTTGTTATAACAGTTAATATTAGTGAAAATAACATTATATTCTATTAATAATTTAGGAATTGTTATTGTTTATAAGCATGCACAAATAAACAAAAGTCAAAGTACTATAGTATTGTATGATAAGGGAAACCTGATCCATCATAATATAGTATTTCGTTTATAGTTTACCCAATTGTAATTTTATGGTGTTTTATTCATTGCAATAATTTTTAGCTTAACATCTATTATACGCGAAATAATTTGCATTTACAGATAAAAATGAATTTCATAATAATTGCACTCATTATTGCATTGATTAATAAAGTCATAAAGATATTGGGAAACTAAATAACTTTAAAAACATCTATAATTTAATAAATAAAAATATTTGAACTATTATACACTGTATATACTGTATATATTAATCACAAGTCAATCACCTAGTTGTTTGACATTAAATCATCTAGGACAAATTGTAAGCGAGAATCTAGGTAACAAAATATTATGTATCATGTAAATATACATGTATATCATATACAGTAGCTCTACAATAGACTCCTTTGGGTGTAAATCAATTGAATATGATTTAAATTTGTCCAAAATATGTAATATGTTTGAGAAATAAAGTACTGTTAAGTCTACGGGAATACAGTTATGAAATCTATTGAACTGAATTTGTTGTGCCATTAAATGAAAGACAATACAATGGTGTGAGAGATGTAAGCGATTGCACGATAAGTGACATAACATTCGCTGAACGTATGGACAGAGTGTTGAGGGTTTTGAGGGCAGACCCTATGAAGTGCCTGAATATAAGGCCCAATACGTCACGCTATGACGCGGTGTAGAGCCAGTGCTTACTGAGCCCTCAGAGCAGTGCTATTCCCTGTTATCCCCGCCTTTCACTCCACTCTATAACACAATTTCATTTCAACACAATTTACTCAATTATTCACTACTCGTGCCAATTGTCTCCGATCTGAGCCCACAATTGAGTCCCAATCAACTAATTGTGCCACAAATTGATCACTAAATCCACATCGGATTCAATGTAAGTCAATAATCAATGTATTTGTAATGCATTTGTCATTTCAATCAAATGTAATGTAAATGATATGAAATGTTGAAAAATAGTATTGCGTTATAGAGTATTGGGTCCATAGGTATAGCTGTGTATTACATGTATTACACAATATTACATACTATGATGTGAGCACTGGTAGGCTGTGGACCCGTAATCGTCATAATAATAATAATAATAATCATTTTATATGAGGTTTTGTGCAGAAAATGTCTCTCAATGTAGGAAATGATGAGGCGATCGATGGCTTACTTTTGCATTCAAATACCAGTTTTGGCCCTTTTTTGTGAACTCAACAAACTTTATATTCATTACAAGCCATTAGTTTACTCAATATGTTGTATAATATTATGTTTTAGAGTTTTTAAAATTAATTAATTTTTATTTATTTAATTTAATATAACATTAGATGAGAAGATTAAACATGAAAAGTATTGAAAAAGAGAAAATAGATTATGAAGTGATGTGTAATAGATTGCCAACATTTTGTCCCAGTATTGAGCCATTCATTTAATAGATATTTTAAGTTTTAAAACAATTAATTTAAATTTTACAAATGAGCGCCACTTATAAATTAATTATAATTGTGGTACTTATGAAGGTGTTTAGCACTGGACAGTATGCATAACATGTATTGATCTGACCATTTTGGCTCTCGTTTAGTCCATATATTATAATATAGATTCATTTGACATGATTTTACTGTTAC